ACGGATGGATCTCGTTGTACTGCAACTGTTTAGCTTTTATACGATATTCATGTTGACGCAGTCCACGAGACTTCCTCCCTCGTTTAGGGTGAAAACGTGCTGAGCTTTCGTCCATCATATGATGGACATCATTAGAGCTGGGTGTCATTCTTGTAAAAGTCTCACGTTAACACTAAAGCAAGAACACTATCCGGCTCTATCTTACTTCTTATATAGACTTAATCAAGCCAAAAATTAAAAATTAGAAACCTAGATAGATCGATATAGAGTGGTTTGGTTAATTTTCTTTCATACTGGTTCTGTTATTTTTGCTCGATTCTATGAGTATGCATATTTCTGCGTGTTAGCGTCTATATGTTATACGATTCCTGAATCAGATTTGTCAAAGCTTAAATCTCCGGTTCCGATCTACAAGACCTAATAATCCAAGAGAAAATCTTTGACCTAGACTGCCTAGGTCCGTAAATGAGTATGGTTGAGATAATGAAATATGAGCTTGTAAGCGTGATAATCAAGTTACAAAACCACTTGTCCTAACCTTTCAGTCTAGGGTCATTAACGTTTAACCCTATAAGGAAAAGCAAGACTAGGGTTGCGTATTCATACGTGTTTGGGTGGGTTGATGAGCGTATTCTAACATTTTGGATGAATGTGAGTAAAATTAGAACCATCACTGAGCAGACAAATTGAGTCGCCATCTTTTTGAAGGCAACCCAACACCCTCTCTCTCTTTCAATCTATCAATCAAGCATAAGTAATTCCTACTCAACTTCCTACTAGCGTTTCTCGCATTCAACGTATTTCCTAAGCCATTAATTTCAATAGCCTCTCTTATCTTTCATTTAACCACAGATGTACCATAATCAGTAAACCTCCTAGTTTGAGACCATTTTATTTCATGTCCAGTTTCTAATATGTGTTCGGCCACTTCTGACCGTTGGACCCAGCTTCCTTTACAAGCATTTTTGTGTTCTACCAATCTTTGTCGAATATGTTGGCATGTCTCATAAACATAACATCGACCACATGAGTAAACAATTTTGTAGCAGCCGGATCTCGATAAGGGGTCATATTTCTCTCCAAAAGATGGCATAACAGAAGAAAGTGTGAGGGTTTCTTTGAACACTGTTTTTA